CTTCTTGTTACTACTAGTAAGGCACTTGTTACTAGTAGCGATGCACTTGTTCCTAGTAGCGAACCTTGTTACTAGGAACAAGTCTCGATTTCTGCCCGTTCTGCCATTGAGTAGAGTGTGGCACCAAGTAACATGAGCGACAACAAGTAACATGAGGCTCGAGATGAGTGGAATGACCGTTATGTTTTTCAAGTTGTTGGTCTTACCTGGACAACGTCCAATAAGGCAACATGGACGTCCGAATCCATTGGCCATTCTGTGGGCAGTTGTAGTACGGAGTTCAAACAACCAATCTCAACAGGTAGAATAGACTATGAACAGACTAGACTTCATTCAGTTTTGTTTTCAGATGTTTTTCCATGTTTTTCCGGGAGAGGTAGGACAACCTGCACTGGAAAGGCTTATCTACCCGCTGTACAGCTTCTATTTCGTCAGGACAGATCAAAATTTCGGTATGGACCAAGAGGGGACGGGGGAGTTTTCAAGATTGAACTAGGGTTAAAGGCACTTTTAGCCAGGAGCATACTAGAGTTTTCTAGGGTTTTCTAGGCTCTTGGCTAAACCCACTTTGATTTATCTTTGATTGGAGGGGTCAACCAGAACAGTGTTCAATCGACGAAAGCTGAGCTGGAAGCAGTGGTCAGTGTGCAGCGTTCCCAAAGAACCACTTGGGCAGGGCTCGACACGTCTCTACGTGCTCGACACGTACCGCCAGCATCCAGGAAGTACCGCCAGCAATATCCATACCAATCTGGTGAAGGCCAAGAATTGTCGGGTTCTTAATTGGAGTGGTACGCCTTCTCAGTACAAGTTGCTGGTTACATGGAATGATGTTCATTTGATTTTTGTATCCTGATACGGTCACACATAGCTGACTTCCTTGATTGCCTCAATCCATGCCACACTGGCATTCCCATGTTGCTCAGAAGACACAGTTTAAGGTTTGTTGACGAAATCTTGGACCGGAGTGATCACGCTGTGCTCACAGCGATGTCGCAAGCTGGGTGGCTGGGTGGCAGCCATATGAGTTCGCTGTTCTGGAACCATCACACAAAACTCCATCTATTGGATCGGTCAAAGAGAAGTTGACAAGACTTTTTCTCCGAGATCGTGCACCATGCAGATGTTCTTTCACAATTTGAGCTGTAGTCGAGTGCCTTGAAGCTGGAAAAGGACATGTAAGTGGATAATCAGAATTCTCAGATCAGATCAGAGCTGTTTGATGCATTCTCAGAGTTGCTTCGCGCTCAGGAATCTGAAGGTAGCTGCTGGTGACGATGGATGAGAGCAAGATAGATACAGTGGTTTCAGAGTAGATGGCACAGTCCCAGTTCCCAAAAGGCGGTTTGTGTGGAACCTCATCTAAAGGACATCTTGGGGTTTGTGCCATCTACTCTGAAACCATTGTGGCTGCTTGGGGTTTGTGGCTGTCAGTGAAAGGCTGATCAAAGGAAGTCACCGAAGGAAACGGGAGGTGGAAGATGGTGGAAGTACGCGAGTGCTGGTAGGGACCGTCGGACCGTTCATGAGCGCGTGTGTCGCGGATCAAAAGTGAGTGAGCGAGCTGTGCTTGCTTGTGTCATGGTTGGCAACTTGCAACACATATCGCAGATGGGAATCATACCATCCAAAAAGTTTGCCTTTTATTCTTTACGGTCATACTTTGCAATCAACCTGGACCTGCCGTCTTTCCGTCTTCCATCGCCGACAGCGGGACCGACTCAGTGGGGGTGCATTGACGTATCAAGAGTGCCCTTCTGCACGACTGCACTGCACGACGGCAAAGGTTCTTTAATCGTCTTTACCGCAAGTGGCCCAGCGCGCTTACGTTTGGGCAAGACCTCCCAGTGCGGTTAGCTTTTCGAGGTTTGGGGTGCAATTTTCTTGGCGGTTGGATTCGTGAGGATAGAGTTCAATGCTTCCGGGTCGGAAGCATGGCCGGCTAGATTGATATTAAGAAGCTTGAATGCCCGGTGGATATGATGTTATGGCCAAGGCCAGGAGCAACGAGAGCTGATTGGCGTTCCAAAGGATTAGGAGATTGGCAATTCATGCCCTTTTGATCCATGTCCTGAAGTTGCTTTTGATCCTGCAAGTTTCTTCTGAATCTGTCGACATGTGATGGGCTTGGTACTTCTGGGTTGCCTTCTCCATGCATTCGTATGAATTCGTGAAGTACGGGGCCCATGGTCGTGACGCCGCGCATCTTCACAAAGCTCTCAGCAGCAACGCAGCTTCTAGCTTCAAACAACACTTGTTTGCCAGCATGAAACATTCCAAGTGCTGGGCTTTCTTTGACTTTCGCCAAGCAGAGGATGGCGTTTGGGCTGTTCGTTGCCTATTGGTAAGTCCTACTTTGTGGGCCAGGATGGCTGGTGAAGCGGCCATTACTGTGAAGCGTGGCGCGCCAGTCGAATGCTTGACTCGCCACCGACACGAGAGGCGCATCGAAGTTAGCGCTGCCGCGTCGCTGCCGCGTTGTTGACGCTTTGCCGCTCTTGACTTCGTTAGATCAATACTGCGAAGCACGAAGCCACAACCCAGCGGGAAACCCTGACCAATCTGACCCCAGTGCAACAGCTATAACTAGTAACAAGGGCATTACTACTAGTAGCTAGAAGCTACTAGAAGCTACTAGTAGTGCAAATCGAAAGCCATAAAATGGACCTTGCTGGCCTCAAGGTCCATTGGTCCATGTCTTGCACAGAACCCCCTTGCGGGTCCATTGTCCATTGGCCGCAGGCGACACGGTCATACTGCATGGGGCACTGGTCCTAGGTAGCTACCGTGCTACGCCGTTTTCGGCACTTGGACGACATCCCTTCCCTTCCCTTCCCCCCCCGCTCTATAGACAGCCGGCTCATTTGCAGGCGGCTGACAGGGCCAACACACTCTGTAGTTCTGAACATGTGCATGCTGCGCTGCTGCGCCCCGGCATGTTCAGCTCAGCCTGGGCCCATGAGCCTGAGGTGACCCCCCTTTGGATCCTTTTGGTTGAGGATGTTGAGGCTTGACTCGTTGTGACGGTAGACTCCTTGTTCTTCGGTTTCTGGTCGTATCGTTGCCGACCGTCTGTTATATAAGTGCAATTTCTGGTTTCGGTACTGGCGGGCAATTTCGCAGTTTCCCTCTTACGGTCAAAAGCATTTAAGTGCGTTCACAGCCGCTGGTTCTACAAAGGGGCACAGAAAACAACACAAGGTGATATTGCCTTGAAAACCAAACGTTGCCTTTTTTTGTCATCGGCTGATTTGGAAGCAAAAAACATACTCTTTCAAGCAAAAGTGTAATCGGGAGTGAAAAGTGCTATCGTGTCTTCCTGGCCCATTTCAGTGGACACAGAGACCCTTCAAACCTGACAAACTTGGGCCATATTTTTGTCCGGGTATTTCTGCCTTTTTTCCGCCGATTTCGGCCTTTTGGACGGGTGTTTCTTTTGAGCCCGGTGGCTGGGAACCCTTTGGATCCGGTTTCTCATGTAACATGTTTGGAATGTTGTGAAATACCCAAAAGTGTATGTTGGGATCTGTGAAGTTGAGAAAGTGTCATTATTTTACAAACCATTGTTTTTTTACAACATGACTAAAACAATGCACACTTCTGGTTTACTAGGTGTGAGACCCTCCCCTCAAAACAACCTGTGGCGTCACCGCCGGAATGTTTCCCAGTGCTTCCTGACTTTTCACAGTAGAATGGCCTGGCCGGAAACAATCTCGAGTTCCCTCGCTTCCATTGTGTCAGGGTATGCCTCTGACTCTGTGCCTCCTGGTCCGGATGTAGCCTTTGACAAGACATCTTCTGGTTGTTGCCAGCCCCACAGCTTTAGTGCGGGCTCTATCTCTGGTGGTGCTTAGTAGCTCCAACACACAAAGTGCATCAAAGAAAGTCAAAGTGTTTCCCTGATGTCACGAAAGTTGGGCCAAACTGACCATCAACAAAGCCACAAGATTCTCTTGCAAAGAAATGTCGTTTCCGTGCAGAGTCCGCGAAACTTGTTAACGTACAGTATCTGTCTAGAATGTCCATGAAACTGCTCATAAGCCGTCGACAAAAGATCCGAATCTGGTAATCCATCGGATATTTGCAACAGTTCTGCTGGCATGAACTGCACAAAACCGCGAAGGACTGTCTCCTCACCATCGCGAGCTCGCGTCGATCTCGCAACTACACCCACTCTGGAGCATAGCGAAGTGAAAAGTCATGAACGGTCGAGTGAAGAGCATGCACCAAATTCTTGCACCACAGGAAGCTGCATGAGGCGCCCTGACGAAAGGCCCTGACAAGGCGCCCTGATCAAACCAAGTGCACAAACAAGTGATAGCCCTTGCGTTATCACTCAGGAACACGTCCACACCATGGAAAGTTCCGTTGGGGAGAACTTACCCACAGGACTTGTTGTCATTGGGGACTAGCTCGCCTGGAAAAGGATCACAATTGTCCAATAGCATCAGTTCTGGTTGCGGGCGGACTGCGGCACCTCTTTTCTCGCAGTCCTTGATGTAAAAACGGCTTGCGCCGTACATTTTGGTACACTTGTAGATTTGCGCATGTCTTTCCTGCACTCCTCCCAGATCTTAGAGCTGTTCTATGCCCTGGTCAAGCCGTCCATACACTACCTCCACAAATGCAACAGGCACGAATGTCCTGCATGCTGCCGATTACGGTGCTGCACCTGGGATCAGTGTGCAAGTGTCCCACACCATCCTGGTACAGCCACACTACCCTGTTGTAGGGTCTTTGACCAGCTCTCCGGCAGCCGTGGCACACCGCAATGCCCTCGACTTCATTGGCGCGACAAAACCCTCTGCGATCTCGCTGCTTGTGAAAACGCTTGCCCGATAGCGCAAAGTATGCCAGTTCCCACCAGGTTCTTCGTTCCTGAAGTCGATCACTCCTCGTCGATGCAGTAGGGGGTTCTTCCTGCGGCTCGGCGATATCTGCTTCTCTTCTTCCACCGGTAGTGGTCACCAAGGCCACGCTCTGGGGTGCATTTCTTGGACCTAATGCTGAACTGCCCTCGTCGTGCCAATGACCTGCACCCTCGAGATCCGCAAAGGTGATATGACGAGCTATTTGACGTAGAGCCGAGAGGCCTCCCTGGAAGAAATCAATATCATAGAAGGCGGATTCGGAGCCTCCGCTTGCCAAACCCGTCGAATCTTCTCAAAGAATGTTCAATGTCAACAAACCATTCCGATGAGTAGCATAACAGCTCCAAACACCATGAGGATGTAGTTGCCCTCCTCCGTGTCCGGTGTTAACGAGTTCGTGGAGTCCTCTTGCACCGCTCCGTGAACACGCTGTAGTGCTCTCAATGCTACAACCAACTTTGTCGCTTTCGACGGGTTGTAGCACGCCACCAGTCTTTTCGCTCTTGGTGCCACGATGCCCTCATCCTCCTGATGGACTGCGTCTACCGTACAAGGTTGCCACCCCATGGACATGTTTTTCCTCATCTCAGTCATCCTCGCCTTTGGGAATGTCTTGATGCCGACATCTGCGATGAGGTCCCGTCCCGGCTGATACTTGAACTCCCACATGCCAGACTGGGATTTTCCACCGCTGAGCTGCTCTCACCTTCAGGTGCCTGGTCCTCCAAGCTCCCGTCGCCGAACTGGCAATCGAGACAGCTGCCGTGTTGTCGCACTTCAGGAACTTGGCGATTCCTCCAGTCACCTCATCAACCATGCAGGAGATGCTGTCACCCACTACCACCGCCTCAATCACCCCGATCAACTCGGCTACAGCCGTCGAGAGAGCCGGAAATGGCTGCTTGCATCTCTTCCAAGCCACGCGAGTGCCTCCAACCGTGATAATCACGCATCCATGAATGTGGTCCGCCTGGAGCAAGGGACTCCAGGATAAAGTTGGCTCCATGCCTACACTATATACGATAATCCCAAGCCGATGGTGGCGTTCAGGTTCTTGATGACCTGGTGGGCCGTCTCCTTCGCCCACTTTGGCGCCCTACTGGTAGCCAAAAAGATTCTGCCAGCTCTGGCCTAGTCTCCGATGCCAACCGGAGGAGTTTTCCTGCCAGCTGCTGAGTTTCTTTGACTTGCTCTTCTTCATCACCAGTGTACTGGCCACATCCTTCAGCTTATGCCTTTTCAACACTTCCTTGATGTAGCTGTACTGGTATTCAAAGAAGACGCCGTTGTCCATGCGGCGGACCTCGAGCCCGCAGAAGCGGGCCGGTTCATCTGGACCCACCCACGTCGGCCTCGATGTCTCCCACTGCAGCTGGAAGGCTTGAATCCCTTTCTCCACGATGCCGTCGCTGCCGAAGACCATGACATCGTCCACGTAGACCAAAACCAATCGAGGTGGGTGGCCGATGGAGCCCGGACATCCGCCCTCTGGCCTGGCGCACGTGCCTTCGCATC